ATTGTTTTTATTTTTGTTACTTTAGACTGGTTGTTGCATTCAGCAACAAAATACAAAAAAAAAAAAACAGTTTGAAGTCTACAATAAAAAGAATGACTTTTCTTTATTTAACTTTTTTTAAGAGGAAAGTAAAAATATAAGTTGCAATGTGTTTGTAAAATATATTTGTATAATTTTAATGTAACAAGTTGAATTAAGCAATGCAAAATGCTAAGCAAAGCGAAATGCAAAATCTGGAAAAATATCTGGTTCAGCCAAAAATCAGCGTTATTGTCGCAAAAAAAAAACAATATTAAGCGTAATTATATTTCAAAAACTTGAGAAAATATTTAATAAAAAAAAAAGGTCCTCAAATTTTAATTTAGGCTGCGCCCAAATATAGTCGACACTGTCGAAAATGGTCTACAATAACCCCTGAATATATATATATATATATATATTGTTTAACATTTCAACTTTTAACAAATCTGCAAGCAACCACTAATTTGTGTTGGAAGTTACTGGAAGAAAAAAGATGAAGATTGTAGAGCAAGATAACGATTGACAGACGACTTAAAAGATAGTCTACTACACATTGACCATTTCTATACTTGTTCTTTACTTCAATATTTTTTTGTAAGCAGTAGAAAAAATTATATATAAATATATATGAAATTAAATGAAAAATGGTTTTATTTACACAATATTATATTTGTTTTTAGAAATGATTTCATCAGATTTTATTAAATCAGTGTTCCCTGTGTCTACATCATGATTGTTTTTTTCAAACTTGCCAAATTGATTAAACATTTTAAATGCTAGATTTTTTTTTTTTACAAAATGTGCGAGCAGAAATTTTTTTACATTTACTTTCTGAATATTGATTAACTGTCGCAAATAAACTAAAATACTCTCCTCTGTAGAGAAAAGAATTTTAGTCCATTTTGTTAAAGGAGTTTTATTAGTGTTGTTTTTCCACTATAATTAAAGTAATACTTTTTGTATGTTTTACAAAATATTGCATAGTTATTTCTGTTTTTATCTCTTTAAACTGCAATTACCTGTAAGTTTTACTTTTCAACAACATCGATTTTAACTATTTCTATATTTATAACCAAAATCTATTTTTAAAAATATGCATTAAACAAAATGTGTAAATAAGTTTAAAATAAAAATTGTTTCAATTTAATATCTTGAAATAAATACCATTAAAGTTCATGTGTCTTTTTTTATAAGAAACTTGTTAACAAGCTTGTACACTTTTTTTAAAATTAACCTCAGCCTATGCCAAGCCCTTGGCATATGCTGAAGTTAATTTTATATGCTGTTTATGTATTTTCTTCACCAATGTTGTTTATATGGCTAATGTTGATTATATGGCAAGAGTCAGCCATATAAGCAACATTAGTGCCCATATAATATGGGTCATGCTAAGTCTGTTCCACACTGACCATTTCTATACTTATTCTTTATATAGTTGTTTTATTTCAATAGTTTTTAGTAAGTGGTTGAAAAAAAAATCATAAAAAGCTTTGTTTTTAAAAACAACAAAAAATTAAGAAATTTATTTTATAACTTCTTATTGAAATTGTAAACTTCTGTTAAAAAAAAAATAGGCTTCTTTATTTTTTTCTTTATTAATTTCTTTTATGTTTTTTAATTTTTTCAGAGCATCTGCAGTTTTTATAGGACTCTTGCCCTGTTACTTCTTTTGATGAAAATAAAAGTTTTAGTGTAAAATCTTTGTTCTTGTATAGCTCTTTAATGTGTGACTTAACTAATTACTTAAGCACATTTATAACATAAGTATCTCTACTATGACGTACAACAAAATTTTCTCTGTGATTTGATGTTTTTAGAAATATTAGGCTTTTTTTTTTAATTTTCTTTTGTTTGTTATAGTATATAATGTCTTAATGTATGTTGTTTTAAAGTAACTATAAAACATTAAAAAGTATTCTAGAAAATTGAAAAAGATTATAAAAAAACAATTTAACAAACAAAAGAATTTATAAAACAGCAAAAAAATGTTATAAATCAAAATTAAGCAGATATTGCCGCAATGCAATTTTTAAGTCAAATTAAATTAGTAAAACTTGATATACTTTTTATCATTACATAATTTAAGTTAGGTATGCATACACATTTGTTCCCATTTTCTTATTAAAAAAACACTGCAACTCTTTCTTGCCTTAAACTTCACTTTAATGCCTGCCCTAAGTTTTATATCAAACATTTTCAAATGTGTAATGGCAGCAGCATTGAGTTCAGCATTAATATATAACAGATTAGATACGCTTTAAGTCAAATAACCTTTCACAACGAAATTGCAAATAAAGTAATTAACTTTTTAAAATAAACTAAATAAATTAGCCTAGTTTTTTTATTTGTTACTTTAACTTTTTTAAATAAAAAATTATTTTTAGTTTCAAAGCTGCAATTAGAAAGTTAACATATTTTAACAAAATTTAACATATTTAAATACATTAATACAAATGTAGGTAAAAGAACGAGTTTTGTTTATATCAAGCATTTTAAAAAGGGTAATACTAAATTTAAATATTTAATATTACAAAAAAAAAATAGAAAGAAAATAAATCTTGAATGAATGAGTTTGATATTTTTTAAATTGACTTGTATTGTGTTATGTATTTCATTTTTAAACAAACAAATTTTTATTACTTTCTGTAGAAAAAGATTTTATGTTATTAATGTGCATCTATTATTTTTGTTGTATAGTATTTTAGATACCAAATTAAAAGTGCAGCTATAAAAATATTGCATATTAAAAACTCCTTTCATTTTTAAAATAAATATTATGTGTCGGTTAAATTTTATTTTTAAGCAGTTTTCAATTGAAAATTTAAAACTAAAAATTTAAATAGTTTTTTAAAAAACCATTTTAATTCTTTAAGAATTCAATAGTTCTTTGCATTTTTTTATAATTGGTATAATAATAATGTAACTCTTTTACTAGTCATTTAAACTTATCGAGTTTATTTAAAAATAATTATCAAAACATTTTTTAAAAATATTTAATAAAATGCAATTTTATTTACTTTGAAGACGCTCATAAAAGTAACGAATCAACATATTTTGCTCTTTTTTTTTAAAATTATTATGTGATTACTTAATGTTAATAAAACAATTTTGTGCCATATGGATTTAACTATTTTTTGTTTACATGTAGGTAAATTATAGCTTAACCTAAATAACAATAAATTTTGTTGTTTTAAACAAAAAAAAAATTGTTTTGCATTGATATTATTTAGTCCATGTCAACATATTTACACAGATGTGGAGCCAGACGTGGGAGATTGCCTGCCATTCCTACAAATGCCTAAACATTGTTTATGGCATATTATTGTTTTTTAGCCCTTTTTATTATTTGTAATCTACCAACATATCAGATCACAGATATTGCAATTAACAAATAATGCAGACAATATATAAAGTTTACTATTACAATCTATGCGGTAGTGGTGTAGTGGTAGAGCGCTCGCTTCATAAACGAGTGGTTCCGAGTTCGATCACCACCACGTCCCTGGTAGTACCGCGCTCAACTCGTTTCTCCGCGCAGCGGCCTTGTTCGTCAAGGTTCGTGTTTCGGAGTTATAGAGTTGAGAGAGGGTTATAGCCACAAAATAAGTAGCCTCCTCGTCTGTAGTGGCCTTCTCGGCCTTGAGGAGGTGAAGTAAAATTAAAAAAAAAAAAAAAAAAAAAAATGCAAACGTAATGGTTATTGGTTTACGATATAATTAGTCATGCATAAAAAACTTGAAGTACCTGATTAAACTAACTTATTATGGTTCTAAAGATTTAATTGTCTTCTTATTGCCATATTTTAAGCCAAGATAATTTATTTGCCTACGCACCATTTAACTTCTATACTATTACCTTTTTCCTTTTTTTTTGGTGGTAAGGACAAATTTTTTTCTAATAACATACTGATATCATTAATGATTTTCTTAATATGATATTTTAGAATCTGATCCAAAATTATAAGGTTAAGAAACTAAAGGTTCCAAAATTATCTTAAGAGCCTCTTCTTTAATATACTATCTTATATTCATTTAGCATGTAGTATTGAGAAAAGTAAGAGAAAAATAACATATATATAAAAACAAAGTTTTGATTTCATCAAATTTTTTGTAAAAACACAACAACAATTTCAATTGTAAAAAAACAATTTTTATATTATATATAATTTTAATGTATAATCTTTAATTTGTTTTATCACAATTTAGTTTTTTTTTTTTAATGTATTTAATGAACTATTTTTAATGAAGATTTTTTTGAAAAATATTAAAAGTTTCATTTTTCTTTTTCATTTTAAACACTAAAATAAATTTAAAAACTTGTTTTTAAAAGGATATTTATTTTTATTCTACTATTTGGTAGACCATTTTCTTGTCTTAAAAAAATATTTATATTTTTTCTTAATCTAAAAGTACAAGTATTTGTATTTGGGAAATGGCAAATGCATATATTTTTATTTGAATTTGATCTGAAAATCTATAATTAACTTGCATTTGTATTTGATTACAGAATTGAAACCCTAAAATTACACATTACTACAGTTGTTAATAAGAAGTTAAATTGCATATCTGAAAACTAAAAATGAGAAAAAAACAAGTTTTTGTTTTTTAAAAGCTGTAAAAATTCATTAACACATTACATATATATATATATATATATATATATATTATATATTATATATTATATATTATTATATATCTATTTTATATATATATATATATATATATATATATATATATATATATATATATATATATATATATATATATATATATATATATATATATATGTATATATATATATATATGTATACATATATGTATGTATGTAATACATATAAATAAACAATAAGATATTTCAAAGCAATGCTAATAACTTAAAAGGGAGTAAAATTTAAGAAAATGTATTTATTTAAATTGTATGTAAAGATGTGGTGCTTAGAAGTTCCCTGCAGAATATTTTTATTACAAATATTTTTTTAGTTTGGGAGCAAATTTGCCAGAGCCTTCTCAACCAAAAAGCTCATTTGAATCAAAACACAATAAACATGAAGACGAAGATACCGAGGTATTATAAAAAGAGATTATAACAAATGTTTTAGTTGAAATTTAGATGGGTATTTTGGTGTTAAATATTATGAGCATGTTGTAGCATGCAAAAAAGTTTTTGTTCAGCGTAGTTATGGAAAGATCCAAACTATTTGCATTTCTTAAAAAAAAAATTGACGTTTTTAAACTCAAATTTTTTGTTTTTTTTGCTTATTTTTAACTATTACTTTTATACATTTTTTAAAAGTAGAATTTTTAATGGAATAAGTTTCTCTTATATAATTATTTTTATATAAATCTTTTTTCAACCAAAGTATAAAACAAAGCTACCACTAAAATACATAAACACATCCGAGCATTATAAAAACAGTTGAAACAAATGTGTTTGTTTCAACTGTTTATGAGTAAAAAGTCTCCTTGTTTACAGCATTAAAATATTCAATAAATGACTAAAAAGCTCATATCTTATATTTCAGTAAACAGTAAAAATGTTAAAATCGAAGTTTTCACATTAATTTTCACTCATAGCAATTTACCTCCATAATCTCTTTAGAGTTGTTTTTAATAAATTACCAAAAAGAAATGTTTCCCCTTTTGCATAACTTATACCCCATAGTATTAGGCTGAAACTTGAAACTAGTAGATAATAAAATCTTCGAGGAAAAAAAAAAAGAAAAACTAATCAGAACGCACACAAAATAAAGCAAAATTTGTTGAAAACAAAAAGGGCCTAAACGCAATATTTTTTTATCAGATCTTACTTTAACTACGTTGAGCGGTCAATGACATTTTGTGCTCTAATTTGGTTTTTTTAATTTTTTTTTAAAAAATAATGATTTTTATTAATTAAAAGATTTTATTATAATATATAGGTAACAAAGTATTAAAGTAAAAACAATCATTATCCTGTTGAAATCTTAAATTCTGTAATTCTGCAGCATATGAGAAATTATTAAATGAAATATTTTTAATAAATTATTAAATAAATATTTTAAATTTTAAGCATATGCTGAAAATATGTTTTTTTTTTTTTTTTTTTGAAAATATAAAGATATGTTTTTTCAGCATATATAAGATATAAGATATGCTGAAAAAATAATGCTGGTAATCAACAGCGACAATAGATCGTTTTCTAAGATGTCTTTGAAACTATTTAGCAGTATAGATTTTACATAAATAAAAGTTGATTATAGTTTGCAAAATATTGTCAAAATTAGACAATCCAAGATAATTAATTAATCTTTTTTCGTAATGTATGATGAATACATTTATAATGTACACTTGATCCTAAAGTGTGAATGAAAAATAGACATGTACAACACTCGATACTAAATTCCAAAAGAAAAACATGGTGGTTTTTGGTGGAATTCAGTGGTGTAATGTTAGTTTAACGCATAGTTGGTCTTCAGGTAACTGAAAAATTACTAATGTCCTGTTTGAGTTGTCTGCTATGAATGTCTGTAGTCCAATGCTGTTTAAATTTTTTCTTGTCTTTTTTTTTTTTTCACACTCTTAAAAAATTATTTTTCACTTTTAAAAAATTTAGGCTAATTGCCAATCATAAAAGCATTTAAAAGAAGAAATGTTATAAATTTTTTTAAATTTGACATTGTCAAAACCTGTTACTATGCCCATCATTAACAATACTTAACACTTTGTCTTAAAAATAAAGGCAACCCTAACCCTAAATTTTTGAGATAAATTTGTTGTATGCTGAAGAAACAGTGTTTTTGAATTTAAGAATTAAGCAGGGTGAAGACCTTAAATACACCACCAAGTTGATAAAACAATAGTCTGCTTTTAAATATGAGAGCTATCCATCTTAATCACTAGGCATAAATTATAAAGTAAAAAAAGATGCAAGGTAATCAAGTTTAAAAAAATTATAAATCAGTACTCTTTTTTTTTTTAATTAGAGTAAAAAATGTCATCATTTGGAAACTTTTGTAAGTCGCTGTGTGTTTTATGGTTTAATCAATTTATATTTAATATTAGTTAAAAATAGATATTTGGTATCAATATAACTAGATAATTTATAACAATTTAATAGTATAACAATAACTGTAGATGCCTGATATCGAAGAAATTTCTGCTGAAAAGGTCAAAACAGATCATGTTCATCATGAGGAGGACAGTAATGAAGATATCATAGAAAGTGATGTTGGTATGAAGTCTATGAAATTCATTTTTTTCTTAAAATTTGTAATGCCAATAGTAGTAAGGAATTTAGTAATTTTAAATTGTATACAAATTATAACCAATTTATCTAGTTCCTGATGTAGTTTTCAATTCGTCTAGTAAAGTTTTTAATACACTAATAAATAATAAACAGAAGCTTGCCATTTGTTTTTTATTCGTTTTATCTATTTATCATTAGAAGGATGTTTCAAGTGACTTAAGTACTTAAGTTACTTGAAACTTAAGTAATTGTTTGAACGATTTGAATGATTCAATTACTTAAGTAAATTTAAATTACTTAAGTAAAATCAAGTAATTTTTTTCAAATTAATAAACAGAAAATTAGTGTTTTATTAAAATTTGTATAAAAGTAGTCTGATTTTCAACTGGATATACAGCTACCCTAATCCTATACAATACAATATTGCTTAAATGGTATTACAATAGTGAAAGATAACTGCTATTTTATATTATTTTAAAATATTAATGCCTTGAAATAATAAGGATTATGGGCACAATGAAGGTTGAAGATGGTTTTAAATTGATTGAAACAAAGATTTTGATTTAAATCTAAATAATCATATTCTTAGAATGAAGTGTAATAAAAAAAAGTGGAAGATTGTCTCAAATAACTCATCAACAATGTCTTTCTTATGAAATCTACTTGACATTAGATGAAGTACCTTATAAAAAACCAAATGATCTAGTAGAAGATAAAGATTCTTGTTGTGACAAGTTAGATAAGGATAATGAAGAAGTCGATGATGAAACCAATTATGAAACTTTTGTCTTGGGAAAAACTATTACTTAATAAAGAAGCTGTTGAGCTATGTCTATTAAAACCACTATCCAAAAAATTTGAATGATTCTAAAGTTTTTTAAAAGGTCACCTCTAAGAAATGATAATCTTCAACACTGTTGTCTTCATGAGTTTGGGAAAGAGTTGGCTTTAATTTTGGATACAAAATCATGTTTGAACTCAATGTCTAAAATGATTTTAAGATTTTTTACAATTAAACAATCAGTTAGGAAAATATTTTAATGCATTGGAAATGCTACCAACTGATAATGAGATTAAAATGGCTTGGCATTTAGGAGATTGTTTAGAAATTATTGAAGCTGGTGCTGACATTCTTTGTAAAAGGGATATTACTCTTTTTGGAGCTGAAAAAATGTGTGAATTTATTTTACTAAAACTAAAAGAGCAAGATACTAAAACATCTTACAATTGCAAAAACTATTACAATTGCAGGACTTATAAGATTTTAGAGGCACCATATTAGTATGATCAAGCTAAAAAAGATTCCATTTTAAACTAACCTTAAAAAAAAGAACTTTCAATTATAGCAAGAAATATTTATTGTCGTCTTTTACGACCATAAAGTATTTACGACCATGAAGATCCTAAAGCATCAATTGAATGTAAAGCATCCAATGTTATAATTAAAGAACATTTTAAAAAAAAGTAAGGCTGAAGAGCTTGATTATTTCCTATCCAAAAAAATCAAAGTTAATGATAAATAAGGCTTCTTTTAATGTTTTGGACTTTATTTTAAAAAAATGGCTTTATTTGATATATCAAATGACTGCCTGAAAATGCTAAAAAAAATTATACTGTGCTTTAAAGTCTTTACCACCACCATCAGTTGGAGCCGAAAGATGCTTTAGTGCTGCTGGACTTTTTATCACTAAGTTGACAACATCATTGAGTGAAAAAATGAGTGACACTTTTTTTTTATGTTTAAATTTAAAAGCTTAGTTATATTTTCTTTTGTTTGGTTATACTTATATAGTACTATAACACAAAAACGTATGTAAAATTTATGTTTTGAAAATTAACTAAAAAAACCATTACTTAAACGACCCTAATTATTAGCCTTTATTTTACTTTCATTATTTTTATTTTATTTTTTTTGCTTGTGTACTTATTATTTTCTATTAGCATTGTTTGTTGTTATTATTTGATATTAAATAAATTATTTACAAGATATATCTTTACAATAACGCAAATTTTACATACATGATTTTTTAAGTAAACATATTCATATAAAATTTAGTGTTTGACATTATTTGAGATGTAAAAGAAACAAATAATGTAGTTTATCGTTGTTTTGTAATTTGTCCTTGCTTTTGTGTGTGTTTTTTAAGGTCTTATTTTACTTTAAAAATAAGTTTAGAGTATTTAAAGATAATCTAATTTTTATATTATAAAAATTACATTATCTTTAAATGTCAAAATTGTTATATATTTTTTCAGAAAATATGTCATAAATATTATGAACTTAAGTTAAAAACATGGTGTGTTCTGTAGTAGTAAATTCAAATTTTATAGCATAATTACAAAATTAAAAGAAGTAAGCTTCCTTAACAAAGTTTTAAAACAACTTGATCATAATTTCTAATTATAATCAAAAAATTGTTCTAAATTTTATCCACATAATAAAATGATCATTGCAAGTTTATGGTGATGCTGTAAATTTTAATCTTTATTTTAATTTGTTATTGCTGTTAAAATTATTTGGCCTCAGATAGCATTGCATGGTGGTGAACTATCATTTATCTCTGTTTAAGCCAGTAAATAAACTTCAGGTAGAGTCTCACTGCATATAACCTTCAGTTATTTAAGCCAGTGAAACATTTTTTGTTTATATTTGTTTTTTTGTTAATAAAATCTTGCTTTCAAAGAAATCACCACTTTTTACACCAACAACTGCAAGCTGCTAGGTATTTAGCACTTCAAAATACTAATAGTTTTTTGTTTTTTTTTAAACGGTTTATAAAAACATATTACAATAAATATTTTAAAGATTTTTTATACTAGAATAATAATAATAAAATAGTAAAATAGTATAAAAGTATAAAAAAAATTTTCCAAAGATTCTTTTCTATTGTAGATTTTTTATATTAAATGTTTGAGGATTGATATTTACATATGTAATCTTAGCTAGAAATTTTATTTTTCTTGAGATTTAAAATAATTTTTTTTTATTTTACAGATATAGAAGAATTAGATGGCATTATAAAAGATGAATTAGAAGTTGATCTTCAAATGGGCGATGAATCTATTGAGGTATAGTGATTTTTGACTAAAGATTAAAAAATCCATTTTAATAAAGTTATTTAAGCAACTTTACATGGTTATAACATTTATTTAAGGTCTCAGAAGAAATGATTGAAGAATCCAATGTTAAAAGGTGTGCGGCTCAATCAGCTCAGGAAGAAGGTTTGTTTATTAATTGTTTTAATACACAGCAAGAAAAGTAGTTATCTTTAATTTATTGCAACAACTTTCTTTTATTGATAGAATTTTTTTTTATGTGTTTACTGCTAGCTTTTCTTACCAAACTTTAATGTACCAAGCAAATACAACAACAAAAACAAACTTTAATGTACCAAACAAATACAACAAAAAAAACAAACTCATAATTTTTGTGAACCAAACAAAAATTTTTGATTATAATAATATAAGGTCCTAAAATAGTCAGAAACCGATGTGGTCATTTTTTTTTATATATAAAATAAAAACACCATTAATGTTTTGATGAAAAATAGTCAATTTTTTGCGAATTGAAATAATATTTTTAATTAATTTTTTATATTACAACCATCTTTAAACTTTATTAATTTAAAAATGGCTGTTTATGTGTTAGCTTTTAATCAGTTGTAAATTTATCGAACAATTTCTATTCAAGCTAGAATAGTCAACTTAAAATAACTTGAATTTGAACCATTATTAACTCGAAATAACTAAGTTAACTTGAATTTAAAAATATAAATAAAAAATTTAAAATTGTTACTGTTGTAAGAAATGTTTTTTGATGTTATTCATAGTTTTTTCAACCTTAAGGCTGTGAAGAGTTTTCATATTTGTTGTTATATAGATAAAATTTCTCTTACAAATAAAAGAGGACATGTCATGTGTGTTAAAGGATCGATTGTTTTTCTAACATGTCATGAAATAATACACATGACATGAGGACTAATAATAATACAGTCACATGACATGAAATTATACAGTCACATGACATGAAATAATACACATGACATGAGGACATGTCATGTGTATTAAAGGATCAATTGTTTTTCTGTTGTTCTTGTTTTTATAATTGTTTTTGTAGTAATTAATTAAGTGGTTAAATTAATCTGTTAAAATTCTAGATTTTCCTAATTTTTATATGTTTAATTTAGGTAACTTTGATGAAGCTTTAAAAGGATTTACAGAAGCTATACTTGTAAATCCCAAATCTGCGAGTCTTTATGCCAAACGTGCCAGGTTTGCTTTTATTTAAACTGCTAAAATTTAGTTACTATAATCATTATTTTATTTAAAGTTTTCACTAAAAAAAAAAACATCTTGTTAGAAAAGTGTCTGGGGGGGGGATCATAAGTAAAAGAGTTATAAGTATTTTAGCACAATTATGGATCGTTAATAATTAATATAGATGGTTAAGTGCCAAGCCTGCCTATACAACAAAGTTAAAAAAAAATTAGTTAAAAAATAATTTAACTAGGGTTTCTTTGCAAACATCAATTTACTGTACTTAAAATTTTAAGTGCACTGAACTGCAACTGCTTTTAATACAGTAAACCTGTATGTTTTTTTTTAATCCTGGCAATTCTATTGATAAATTTTATGGTGGCAACACTGATTTTTCATGTTAATTGTAGAATATGGGTCATTTTGCAGTTGTTTGTTGTGGTTGGATTATTGTCAAACATTTGAAAAGTGAAGTTATCTGGCTTTAAAGATTAAATACTCCTACAGTGTGTTTTTATACATTCTGAATATTTAAAATAATGTCAATTTTATATATTTTGTGCATTTAATTAAAAATATTTTAACAAATTTTTGTGGAAAATGGACGAAAAAAAAAAGATGTTCCTCCAGAAAAAATTATAGAAATTTCTGCATTACTGCATTCTAACTACTCTCCCAAAGACAAATTGCATCACTCACAAATGTCAATATAATGACAGTTAATCGTATAAAGGCTAAAATTGACAGGAAAATTTCATTAGACAGTCAAAGGACTCGAAATAGTGGGCGCAAGCAAATTGCCAAGCCTCGAGATGAATGTAAGATTCAATATATTTGTCTGGGAAATAGGAGAAAAAGTATGAAAGAGTTGACAAAAATCAGGAATGATGCTGGCATAAGATTTCTACAAAGACAAATAGGCAACGTCTTGCAGAAATAAGAGTGGGTTTTAACTCTACCTAATTTTGAAATTTTGTAAACTGTTGATTATGACATTTTTGATTTTCAACTGACAATTTTTGATTTTAATATTTAAACCTAATTAAGACATGTACTACTAATTTTCCAACCTACTAAATTGTCGACCGAATAAATTTTCAACCTTAATATTCAACCTATTGTATTTTCAGTTTAATAACTACGCTTTTCCGGTGTGTATTTTGTATATTTTGTTTATTTGAATATGAGCCAAATTGATCAGCTTTGGCGTAGTAGTTAAAGCGTTTTCTTCAGAATCAGGAGGTATAAGGTTCAATGAATGCTTAAAAATAAAAATCTGTCGAAAATGTCATAAATCTGTTGAAAATGTCATAAATCGTCGAAAATAAAAAGACTAATTCAGGGATTATCTTTTTCAGGATATATCCGGAATTCCGGATATTTTTTTCAATTTATAATTTTGCCGAATATCCAAAACATTTTCAATAAATGCAGATTGAGGTATATATTTTTGTAATATTTTTTTTTTAAAGCTTTTTCACTAATCACTCATAGAAAAATTATAAAAAGTATTTAAAAAAAATTAGCATCAACTTAGTTAAAAGCGAAATTAAAAAGAACAAAAGGGAAACAAATTCCCGGATATTTTATCCAAACAGTTTTCCGGATATTTAAAATATGACTTGGATAACCTATAATAATTGGTTAAAAACAATTTAGGCCTCAATAAGTTATCTGAAAATTAGTTCCACTTTTTAGTAGATGTTCATTTTGTAGAACAACTTAATAGGTTGAGATTTTTGTAGGGCTAACTATCTGACATAAAAACAGGGTTCAAGTGTTGTAGACCAGCCAAAAAACCTAAATTAACTTTAGCCATAAAAGCCAAACATCAAGGTCCTTCTGAATGCACTTTTATGCATGATTCCGCACCCTATCATAGTCAGTAAATGCATTTTTAGAACAAAAAAACTGAAAGTTTTTCTATGGCCAGGGATTTCGCCTGACTTGAACTCAATCAAGAACAACTGGGAGCTCTTGAAAAGGTAAATTTCAAAAGAGGATACAAAAAATAAACAAAATTTAATAGAAGCTTTAATAAAAGTCTGAAATCATGAGAAGAGTTAAAAGAAAATGTAAAAAAAATGCATTCAGAGCATACCAAAGAGGGTCTAAGCTGTTATTGCAACCAAAGGAGAAATATCAAAGTATTTAAAAATTTTATGTAAAAATTATTATACAGTTAATATTTTTATTATCTCAAATATATATATTTTTTTCAACACAAAATTTAAACGAAATAATTTCATAATAAATGCCAAGTTTACCTGAAATTTTAAAAATATTGTTAGTATTCTTACTATTTTCAAATGTTATAGAGCTCCAAACTGATAATAATGGAATTTTTGTATGTGTTACTAGTAGTTTGGACACTGTATATAAAAAAAAATACTAAGTGACTACATTTTTGTACAGTAAAGTGATAACAGTAAACATAAAATCTTTTGACTTATTTTTTTTTTTTAAACTTGAAAGTTATTAGGAATTCTGCTAGGTTTAAAATTACTAATTTATTTATTTTTTTCCTTTTCTTCTATTCTATTTTTATTTATTTTTTCTTAATGATATAAAGTAGTAGTAAGCGACTATGGTTGATATTTGGCTGGGGCTGGAGCTAAAATATAGCCGGGGTTTCATAATCATTTTTACATCCTAAAGTTTTTTTTATTCAATATTCATCTTATTTTTGTATATATATGAATATATAAATTTGATTAACATGATCTTCATAATCATCATTACCATCATCTAATCATCTTCTTTTTTGGCAAATACGACACTAAATAAATACTAAAGTTAATATAAATATGAAAGGATATTGTATGACAGCATCTAAATAAAGTGCATATGTTTCTATCCATATAATAACAACATATGTTTATATCAATATAATAGCGACATGTTTATCATAATATGTTTGCATAAAGCGCATCATGTTCATCATAATATGTTTGCATAAAGTTGTTCATCATAGTATGTTTGCATAAAGTGCATCTCGGAAATTTTTATTCTTTCCAGACTAAAAGTTAGGAAGATTTTACTCCTTCTCATTTTAAGTCAAGCCTTATTATACTCCACATTATACTCCACATTCTTTATCATCTTGAGCAGTTGCTTTATTAAACATTTATTCATTTATATCATAGATAAACATTAGAAAATAAGTTAAAAGTTGATTAAATTTTTCAAAACAAAATATTGAATTTTAACAAAAGCATTTGTTGTTTTGCCATTATACTTCCGGTTAAGAGCCTAAAATTTAGACTCTCAAATCTGCATATTTTGTTTCAATAATAAATGTTTTTGCTCGCCACAGAGTTTTTTAAACTCAGTTCATTTTTACACAATCAGATTGGGTTTTCTGCTTCATATTTAGTCTGGTATTTTATATAAAACGCTCGCTATTGCATGTTTTTGTGTTTTTGTTAGTATCGTTAAGTGATTAAATTAAGTGTTATGTATTGAGTTAAGTTGTTATGTATCATTAAGTGTTTGAGTTAAAATGAGCTAGTATAATAAAAGAATATATATAAACTTAATATAAAAAACAACATTTTAAAATTGGACTAAAAAATGTAAAAAAATTAACTATTTCACAGGACACAAGGCCTTGATGTACATACACAACCTGAAATACCCATTAAAGTCAATGACTGAAAATGTTGGTTAACTTAGTACAACCCATTTCTATTGGCACCTAACATTTTCAGTCATTGCCTTTAATGGATATTTCAGGTTGTGTGTGTACACTAAGTCCTCGAGTCATGTAAAATAGTTTATTTTTAAGTTTTTGGTTTTCAATTTCAATTTCCAGCTTTCTTTTATATATTCAGCTTTCTTCTTTATATTTCTTCGTTGATTTTTTTTTTACCTATTTACTTTTAAATCTTAATTTTTAATTACTATTTATAAGTAGTGCTGCTGAAAAGGGGGGGGGGTATCAGTTTGTTTGCCAGAATATATTAGAGGTGCTCCAGATGAAAAGAAGGTACCTAAAAAAAAGGTCATAATATAGAGAAATTTTCATAAATAAGGGCACTGATCAGGGTTGCTGACCCAGGCAGCATGACGACTCTCTGCGCCCCTGCTTATAACTAAAATAATAAAGCATTAATTACTTTTTTATAGTTTTAACAACGTTTTTTATTATTCAAGACCAATTCTATTTATTTAAGCTCAAAGTTTGTCATTTACTGTTTGTTTTAATATTTTTTCTTAATTTCTTTTATTTACGCTTTGTAATTCTATTTATTTATTATATTTATGTCTAATTTGTGATTCTATTTATTTACGCCAAACTGAAATGCTAAAAGTTTGTCATTTATTTATTTTTTTAAATTATTTTTCTTAATTATTTCTTTTATTTACGCTAAAGTCTTTCTGCCTTGTTTGTTTTAATTATTTTTTTTTAACTATTTTTTTTATTATTACCACTGACCTCGTGTTTATTTTGCATACTCACCAAAAAAAAACAAAAAACAATCCGACAAGAAAGCCAGTTAAATAAAATGTTGTAATAAAAATAGTAATCAAACGAACTTTGAAACACAAGAAATAATATTTTTTTAGAAAATAAGTAATCAATTTTTTTATATACAAAACTAAGTACAATTTAAATCCAACATAGTTAAATTTTGAAAGATTTAAAAATCTTTTTTTATATATATGTTATATTCAGGAAATCGTTTTAAAATGATCTTATACATATTTTTAACTTATGATTATAACAATTTATATTTCTAATTCAAGAAACTGTTTTTAAAATGATGAATATATATTTTTCAGATATATTTAAAATTGATATTAAAACTTTTTTTTTTCAATCTTATATTTTAGTTTAACTGCTAAAGGGGAAACCCTTGCATTTTAAACTTGAATTAAGTTTTTTGAAAGAAACTTTTTTTATTGGTGTCAAATATAAGTTTTTGTTAAATATCTCATTCAATAATTTGTTTTGGAAAGTTTAATTAACTTTTAACTTATTTTCTAATGTTTATCTATGATATGAACACAACTTGTTTTGACACTTAGGAATCCCTTTAAAAACAAATGTCCTTTTATTATTATTGTAAAAAAGTCCTTTCTGATGTTATGCTCTGTTAAGCTCAGTTTACTAAATCAAAAAAAAACTTTTATTAATCCAGTTTTTTTCCTTGCTTATCAAAAAAAACCTTATAATTCTTAGTAAATTTGAGTTTAAAAATATTTAAATGTATTTATAATAGTATATAATAGTAATATAAATAGTAAATGTAAGCATAAAACTATATAAAGTATAAGTTTTTTTTCTAGCGCTGTCTATCAACCCCTGCTAAATCTATGAGTTTTGCTGGGGCCAAAGCCAGGTTTAAAAAAAGTCTCATTTTTAGCCGGAGATGAGGTTGCAGTTACTTACTAATAAGCAATTGTTATATCAGCTTGTTGACTGTTTGTTTTTTTTTTCAATTTTATTCTGCATAAGCTTTTTATGCTGTTTTCAAAATTTGTGTTTTTTAAAAAAAGATAATTTTTTAAGCCTTTTTAATTGTTGTTGTGTTTTTCACTTATCAAAATAATGTTATTTTGGTACTTGTTTGAGTTCTCTAAAAAAAATGTTTGAATTTTTGTTTTAAATTTTACTTTTAAATTTTTTTTATAGCATTCTTCTTAAATTAAAGAGACCAAATGCTGCAATAAGCGATTGCAATAAAGCATTAAGCTTAAACAAAGATAGTGCTCAACCTTATAAATGGAGGGGGAGAGCATACAGGTAAATTTATTTATATATTTCTGATTTTCTAAATCTACTTGGTTACATAGTATCATTACTTTGTTGCAAGATTCCTTTTTTAAAAAAGTTGATTCGATATTTTTTATTTTTGTTTTCTTCAGATTATTAGGAAAGTATGAAGAGGCTTACCATGATTTTCAAACTTCGTGTCGATTAGATATGGATGAAACTACTTACGAATGGCAAAAGGAAGTGGAACCCAATGTACAATGAATAAATAGTTTTTTAATTATTTTTTGTAAAGTCTTATACTAATTTAAAAGTGAAATCTTTTTGTAGGCTAAGAAAATCATGGAACATAGAAGAAAGTATGAAAGGTTGCGTGAAGAAAAAGAAATTGAAAAAAAACTGTAAGTTGATGATTTTTTATTAAAAAAAAAAAAAGTTTTATCAGTTAAAAATTATTTGTCTTTAGGTTTTCAAATTGTTATGTGCAGTTAAATATTTTATGTCTTTAGTTAAAAAAATTTCTTGTATTTCAGAAAAGAAGCCAAACGAAGAAAGGAAGAAGCACAAAAACAAGTAAGTTTTTTTTTTTAATTTCAAATTTTAAAGGCTGTTAAGAATGGTTTTTATTTACTTATTTATATTTTTAGTATGAGCATTCTAAAAAGCAAAACACAACTGGGGCTTCAGGAGGATTTCCAGGGGGGTTTCCAGGTAATTGTTATATCAAGTAAAACAAAATTTACACTTCATTCTTTTTATTTAAATAAATATATTCATTGTTTGCATCTATGAATTTACTGTATTTCGCTTACATCTATTGATGTGTTTTGTTATAATATGTTATAATATATTTAATTTTAATTTTCCATCCCCTTATAAATTTGAGTTCAGCAAACCAAAACATCCCAAAAAAGACTACAGATTTGAAAGTTGCAATATGATTACTTGCCTCAGAAACTTGAGATCCGTGGTCCTATGCTACCTCTGGGCAAGTTTTACAACATCGGTAGAGAAGGTGTGAACTTCCTTTCAATTGCTCTTCCGCAGTGCTCTGTGATAAAACCATAAGGACTTTTTTGGGCACCTAAAATAAGCTGGAAAAAAAAAATTCTTAGTTTTTAGTACCTCGGAGCTCTAAAAGTGTAAAGAAGTTTATGAACTATTTTTAGGAAAATAATTTTTTAGGCTTAAGAAACAATTAAATTTTGAACTAGTTTTTATCTATAATGACCCACTTCAAGAGCTCCTGGATACCAGAAACAGGAAAACCTAGTATGTAAAACTAGAATCTGTTTGGCACTCTGCATCCATGCAATTAGCAGTGCAAATTTTTGTGTGAATGTTTCACTAGGTTTGTTTAAAGTTCAGCTTTTAATTAAATCAAATAAAATGTTGTGTTGTTACTTTTTTGTTTAATGCTTGCCAGTTGTGAGTGGGGGTTGGGGGTGGATAAGGAAAGACGACTTCTAATGGCGAAGATTTGTTTTTTACCTGAAGAAACTTTAAATGTAAAAATTTTAAAATATATTAAAGAAGTATCGATGCCCTCGTTATTAGTATTTTTTATTCATAATAAAAAGCATTTATTCATCAACAGTTACAAATAAAAGAATTGTTCAACATAAGCGTGCTTTAGTACTTTTATCACAAACTTTTTTAACCAATAACAAAGTTTTATTAACAATTGTAATAGCTTCTACAGAACAAGTTTCAACAGATTTTAATAATATCTGTTAAAACTAAATAGAGAAAAAGTTATTGGAAAGTTTTGCAAAATTTTCAAAATTATTTCAGCAATTTTTTAAACTTATAGCAATTGATTATTCTAAAAATATAATTTTTAGTTAAATATTCGCTAAACGCTGTTAAATCCGTAAAGGAGTTTTAACAGAAAAAAGTACAAATCAGAAAAAAAAATTAAATGTACTTTAATGTAAAAAATTAAATGTAAGTCAAAAACTAATTGAATTTTTTTTAAAAATAGTTAAAGTTTTTGTTAACAAATTTAAAGTGGCATGTAAAAAGTTAGGGAGTTTAAAAGTCATTGTTGTGTGAACACCATGACATTTTTCAATCAATCAATCAATATATATTTCGTCAATGAACAAAAAATAAAGAAAATTTTACAATGTACTTGTAAAATAAAAATAAAATATATTTTTTAAATTCTGACAGGAGCAAGCAGAAGACAATACATCTTATCATCTTGCCCCTTTGATAGTAAAATAGTTAACTTTATTTTCATGAATTAAGTTCGTAAAATCTATAATTATAAAATTAGTTTATTATAAAATTACATATTTTTGAGTTAAACATACATATTCGTATTAGTAAATACATAAAAATACGACTAAAAATACAAAAAAATATTTTTATTGGTTAGATTTAACAAATGTTGTTTCACAGTTTTTTTAAATGCTTTAATTGAGGCTATAGATTTTATGTCATTATTCAGGATTGAGTTCCACCAAGGAGGTTTAATAAACAGGAGACGCCGTAGTATATACTTTATATAAAACGCGCTGAAGCCAGTTTTTAAAAACAGCCGCCATCTTGGTTAACCAAAAACATTGCGCGGAACTTTATATTTTCAGTATAAAACTTTGCTAAAATGAAATAAAAACTTTGATATAAATAATAGAGTAAATTGCCAGTTATATTTCTTAGGTTATATTATGCTATGAGAAATTGTTTGCTAACTGATTATTGGGTTCAGTTCATTCCAAAATATTGGAATACTGAAATAGACAATCAGATAGTCAACGCACTATTAGCAGATTTTGTATTTTACACAGTTAATACAAAGTTAACATCTTTTGGAATAAAAACAAATGTTTGTGAGTTTTTTAAAATCAAATGTAAACATAAATATATTAAATATTTCTTTATAAATAAATATATTAAATATTTCTTCTTTAATCTTGTGTGTGTGTGTATATATATATATATATATATATATATATATATATATATATATATATATATATATATATATATATATATATATATATATAATTATATGGATATGCTCATAGTTTAAGTCAAATGAATTTCTTTACAGGTGATCTTACTGACCAGTAAAAATAACAAGCTTATATATATATATATATATATATATATATATATATATATATATATATATATATATATATATATATATATATTATATATAATTATATGGATATGCACATAGTTTAAGTTAAATGAATTTCTTTACAGGTGATCTACTGACCAGTAAAAATAACAAGCTTTTTGTGTTGCTGTCGACTCAGTATATATTTTTTACTATTTATCCAAGTGGTATAACGTTTTCCTGCATACCAGTATCTGACTTGCAAGTACTTTTCAGCAATAGCTTTTATTAACAAAACAAGATGATTTTCCATCGGACTGCACTCCATCATATGATTAGTTAGTGAAGAAAATATGTTTACATGCAAATATGTTTTCAATATTGACTGCATAATTGCATGGCAGCTTACATTTGTCAAAGATAATGAATCATTGCTGTTGTGTTCTACATATTCTAAACAACTTTTCACACAAAATGCAAATATCAAGTACATCCTTTGAAGGAAATATCAAAGCCCCTTTTGTTTTCAAGTCAATTAATGCATATTGCTCATACTTGGTACTTGTATTTAGTGCTGAAATACATGTTTCACAGTGCAGCGAATTTCCCAGTTTAAACACAACAAATCCTGCAATATAAGCAACAATACTCTGAGAACATGAAGATAAATAACTAGGATTAGGAACTAAGTAATAATCGTGATCTATAACAGAGTTTTCTAGCGGTTCAATAATCCTATTTCTGCTAGTAGAGCTATTCAAAACACTAACAGAAAGAACATCAATATTTTCGTTTCCTATGTATCCACTAGAAGCAGTCAAAGTAGGTACAACTTGCAATGGCAAACAATTTCCACGAACAAAATCTTGAACATCACTATGCACAAGCAATTTTCTATATGCTCCAATAAACTGTTTTGCTGAAGGGTTATTATTACAACCCAATAAACTTCTTATTTTTCCAAAAAACAGCTCTATATGATCTTGGCTAAATTTAAAAGAACACATAAATTTCATACAAAACTGAGGTTTAACAATTATCCAATGATACAGAAGTAAAACATTGTCAATGGCAGCTAAAAATCCCAAAAAGCCAGTCTTACGATTTGACGTTAGTAAAGATTTGCCATTTAATGATTCTTGTAGAGCAACAATATATTGCCTTGATTGCTACAAGAAACAGGTTATTTCATGCAAGTTTTTTTCTTGTAGAGGTGCCTTCAAGCCTTTACTGCATAAATTCCTGGAAGTCAAAATATCAAATAGACCATTAAACACACGAATAAACTTTATTGTTGGCTGTCAATTTTTGAAGCCTGGTATTTCACTAATTAAACAAAACTCTAATGATGATGCGACACTCTCGCTAAGTAATTGTGCAGCCAATTTTACATTCATTTTCTTCTTAAACCATTGCATGTGCGCTGACCGTAGTTTGTTCCCCAAATGTAAACCTTCATTTTCTTGAAATTGGTGAAGTTTTTCAATATATTCCCACTTAACAAATTGCCCTTCACCATCAACCAAGGATTTTTTATCACCTAGTGTATTACGTACTAATTTAAGCATATGGCAAGGATATAAAAAAAGTACAACCTGTTCTTTAGTTTCTGGATGTTGAAACCAAGCTTTAAAATTAGAGTCAGCTGAATCAGTATTGCATTCTAGGTATTTTGCCATTGAAAAGTTTGAAGCACAACCATCACAAGTAAGGGATGCAACAGTCACACAAATACTATAAAGTTTGGTAAGGCACTGCCGAACCAAATTAGCTCGTTGTTTCCCTGTAAGCCCGTCAATCAAAAAGTAAGCTATTGGAAGCTTACTTTTTGATAAATGAATCATTCATAGAAACAACCATAAATGCTAGTGCTTTATTTGCTAAAGGCAAGCTATCATCATCAATTTCAGTCCCATAATCTATGTACCCTTGGTACTTTTTGCCATCCCACTCAACTTGTTGTCTAATTGCAACTTCATCCATTATTAAAGCGCAAAGAAGGTTCTTATTTTTTGCAGCCATCTCAGACACTTTATGTTGCAAAGCTGTAAAAGACTCTGCTGTAAAACCTGGCTTACAATTAATAGTGTGAAACCACTTCTCAATTGTTCTTGCATGCGGAAGACAAGTATTAAACATTTTGCGCACATATCGATATGCATGAGGCGAATAGAAATGCAAGGTTAAAGCAAAACTTCTTAATTCTGGTGAAAATTGTTGCTGAGTAGATTTTCCTAAGCATTTTGAAAATTTTCTTCGTAACAAATCTCCTACCCCTCCAGCAGACTTTTGCAATATATAAAGGCTCTCACCTTCCAGTACATTATTTTGCTCAAGATCAGCAATAACATTTTTTAAGCTAGCTTTT